GATCCCTGTTAAGTTCTCCGTGTGGTGGTGTGGTTGTTTTGAGGGCTGAAACGGATCCTGGCCCCCGAATCCCACACATCTACAAGGAGTTTGGAGCTGGTTTTCTCTCTTTTCCCAGCTTGAACCCTTACAGTGAGCATGAGGCTGGATGGGTTTGAGCTGGGATCGCCATGGGTTAGGGAGTTGGGGGTCTGCGCTGGGAGATGGGGGGAAATAGCATCCGGGCTGGCCTGGGGCAGCCCTGGAAGCAAACTGCTCCCTATTCCAGCTCATTTCCCCCTCTTTTCCTGTTTCTTTGCCCACCTCAGGTCGGACAAAACCCTTCAGGACATCGTGTACAAACTGGTCCCGGGGCTTTTCAAAGGTACCACCATGGCCAGTTATCATTGTGTGGGTCTGGGGTTGGTTGTAATTCAATCCCATCCACCAGTGAGGCTGGTCCCCACGCACCCCCCTATCCTTGGGGCTGGGACAGGAGGATAATGCTTGGTGTGAACAGACAGGGATGGCTCCATCCGGACAGCGCCCATCGGCTGCTGGGGGCAGCCACAAAGCAATGCTGGGAGCCACTGCCCTCCTATGGGGTCCTATGGGCAGCCTGTGCTGGGGCTGCTGGTCGGGAGCAGGCACTCAGCACCCATCTCCCCTTGGTGTGGTGGTTTCCCCCTCACCTTCCTCCTCCCTTCTCCCGCAGATGAGATGAAGAGGAGACGCGACTTCTATGCAGCCTACCCCGTGGCAGAGGGTGAGTGTCAGCCCCAGGGACCCCCAGCACCCCATCTGTGCCCCCCCCACACCATGGCTCAGCCTCTCCCTCCCTCTGCCTCCTGTAGTTCCCAATGGGTCCAATGAGGATCGCGGGGAAGTCTCCGAGCAGGACAAAGGGAACCTGACAGATGATGAGATTGTCAGCCTGTCCATAGAGTTCTATGAAGGGTCAAGGTACCATTTTCTGGTTACTCCCAGTTTGGGGCTGTGAATGAGCTCTCACCTTTTCTTCCTGCTCCGGAGATGGAGCTGAGGCCATAGAATCACAGAATGGTTTGGGTGCTCCAAGCCCCTGTGTCCAACCTGGCCTTGAACTTGGGATGGAGCAGCCACAGCTTCTCTGGGCACCTCTGAGAGGTGAACTGGTGGTGGCTGACATGGCCCTGCATGGGGCCAAGTACCCTGGGATGCTTGAATGGCCAGAGGAGCACCCAAACCCCATCTGCCCTGGTCCCGCATCCTGCATCCTCTGTGGGTGCTTGCTGTGGCAGCGGCATCCCTGTATCCCCCGGTGGCAGAGCCCAAGGGCTGCCACATCCCCAGTCCCAGCGATGGCCTCCAAGGATGTCAGCAGCATCCAGGGCAGTGGGATTCAGGGAATGTGGGTGCCTGGGCAGCGGTTGCAGCGCACGGGGTTGGAAATGGCAGCAACTGCGTGGGGGAAGCCAGAGCTTGGCTGAAGGTCATTGATGTTCCTCCTCCATGGACAGCCCTTCTGATGGGGTATTGTTTCTCCCTGCCTTTTAATTCCTTCCATAAACCTCATCCCGAGTTTTCTTTCCTTATCCCCCTAGAGAAGAGAAGAAGGGGAGCATTGAGAACGGGGACCTGGAGAAGGAGAAGGTGAGCGTGGTGGGACCACTGTGTCTGGCTGCCTCCGGGGCTTTTGGGGTGGGGAGGGAAGAGGGAGATGGGAGCTGCCCATTTACTTGCACATGGACTCAGCAAGGCCTCTCGGTCCCCAGAAGAACGGGCTGCGGTTCCTGCGCTGCCCGGCTGCCATGACTGTCATGCACTTGGCCAAGTTCCTCCGCAACAAGATGGATGTTCCCAGCAAGTACAAGGTGAGCTCGGGCTTGGGATGCGCTCCGGTGGGCTCGGAGGAAGGGGGATGCTGTTTGGCTGCATCCTCTGCTAACACGTTCACCGTGCTTCGCTTGCTCTGCTTTGTGCAGTGCAGCCCCACATCTCAAAGGGATCCGGCCTTTACTGTGGGTCCTGTCTCAATGGGGATGGTCCTCAAGCCAAAGCAGGGCTGGAGCTGCAGCAGCACCATTGGGGATGGCAGAGCCCAATGAGCTGCTCTGGGGTGGGGGGGGGTGCTCGTGGTGCCTCTGTCCCCATGCCAAAGGGTTGACCCTGTCCCCTGCACCAGGTTGAAGTCCTCTATGAAGATGAGCCCCTGAAGGAGTATTACACCCTGATGGACATCGCCTACATCTATCCCTGGAGGAGGGTAAGCGCAGTTGCCTCTTTCCCTGCTATGGGGATGGGCACTGGGGGGGCTTGTGTTGGAGGAAAGCTTGGACAAGCAGTCCTCGAGGGGAGGGCTGAGGGCATGGGGAAGCGTCAGCATGGAAGGAGTTAGGAACTGAAGAACTTCAAAATGGAAAAGCTTCAAAATTGAAGAGCTTTAAAATTGAACTTAAAAAACTGAAGAACTTCAACATTAAAGTTGAAGAGCTTTAAAATCGAAGAGCTTTAAAATTGAACTTAAAAAATTGAAGAACTTCAACATTAAAGAGCTTTAAAATTGAAGAGCTTTGGAACTGAAAAGCTTAAGAATCAGAGCTCAAAACTTGGGGCACTTCCGTGCATAAACCCCACGAGCTTTTCCTTGCAAAGGTTTTTGCTCCTGATGGGCTTTTTAGGAGGCTGCGGGATGCTGCTCACGCTTCTCTCCCTGTATCCCCAGGGCAGGCTGGAGGGCTGGTGCCCATCGGCAGTGCCGCAGGGTGCCGGGTACCACCCCTCTCCCCCTTTTTCCCCCCCCCTTCCCTTGCAGAACGGCCCCTTGCCCCTGAAGTACCGCGTCCAACCGGCCTGCAAGCGGCTCAAGCTCTCCCAACCCATCACCCCCGAGGGCACCAACACCAGCGGCGCCTCCGAGTGCGAATCGCTCAGCGACAAAGCCCACAGCCCGGCCACGCTGCCGGCCACCTCCTCCTCCCTGCCCAGCCCGGCCACCCCATCCCACGGCTCCCCCAGCTCCACCGGCACCGGCCCCGCGCTCAACGGCTCCTCGAACTGCCACCCGCCGCCCGCCGCCCGGTGCCGCAAAGCGACTGTCAACGGCAGCACGGCCTCGGCCTTGACCTAAAGCAGCGGGCGGACAGGGGACTCCTGCCTGGCTTTTCTAGAGCTCTATATATTATATATATACCTATAGATGTGTACAGAGGGAGAACGACGAACGGAAGCGAAACAAGACAAATTATACGTACTTATTTTCTACCGAGCGACCGGATTAATTTAAAGTGCAAATACGACGCATAAAGGTGGTGGAATATTTTTAAATGATTTTTTTTTTCTTTTCCTTTCCCCCCCCCCACCTCCTTTTTCCCTTTCCTTTTCCTTTGGGTTTCACTGATGTAGCTGCATGCCAGAGCTGGGAGCCGCTGCTGCCTTCCTTGCTCAGTTTCTCTGCCACTTTTCCCTCTCCTCCCCATCGCTCTCCCCTCCATGGGGCAGGGGCACACTCGCAGCTGCACAGGTAAGGGTGAAGCACAGGTAAAGGCCAAGCACAGAAGCCAAAAACTGCCCCTCCATCCCCCCCCCCCCCCCGTGCCCTATGGTTTATTGCTGTGTTTGTTTCTGGTTTTAGCCCCAGGTTTGATAACGGGCTGCCCCGGCTCCATTGGTTGGCATTGAGCATCGCTTGCCGGCCTTGCCCCCACCTTGGCTTTGCCTTGCCCAGCGCCTCCCTGTTCCTTTATCTGCTCTTCCCATGCGGTCTCTGGATGGAGGTTCAGGCTCTGCCCTCGTGAAGCCTCATGCAGACGCTCCCCTTCATGCACAGTAAGTAGGGTGGGTGGTGTAGTGCCAGCGACAAAGGGCAGGAGCACAAGGTCCACTAGATACTGGTGTCTCCTCCTTGGTACCAGCACCTGTTCTGGTCTAAACCACTGGGGGCTCTTTTGGCAGCGCTGAATGAGTCTTTGTGGGACCCAGGGGCTTCAAAGCACCCCACAAGTGGCTCCCCACAGCTTCAACGCTGCATTTCAAAGCTTTTCTTTGCGTTCTCCCCCTTGCTCTCATCCTTCCTCCCCTCTCCTCCTTCCCCCCCCCCCCCCCTTGGGTTTTTAAATAGAGAAACTATAGAGTACAGTGCCTTTAGCCAGGAGGCTTCGGTGAGGGGCAATGGTGGGAAGGTGCTGCCGTGCATTGGGTGGCAGCCCCGCAATGGACCAACGTTCTACATGGACCATATAAAGCACACGAGCCCCAGGAGCACAGAGCCAAGGGGGGGGGGGTTTATTCCTGCCCTTGCTGGGGAGGGGGACATAAACCAAGCAAGTGCCTGCAGCACCCAGCCAGCACCCCCGCAGCGGCACAGCGAGGACCAAAGGCAAAGCGGCACGGGAATTGTCTGAACAGCCCCATTCCAAAGGTCAGGAAATGTGGGATGTCATCAGTGTGTTGCTTAATTATTGTTATCCTTTAATTCATCTGTTGGAAGCACTGCACCCCCAGCACGGCTGGGACAGCAGCACCATTGCTGCAGCCCAGCCCCGGGGCTCCGGGCACTGGGAATGGGTTTGGGAAAGGTCCCCAGTGGGGCCTCTTCTGTTCCTCTCCCCCCATCCCCAAGCTGGGGCTGGATGAGGGGCTCGAAGCGTGTTGGGGGGCTCTGTTTGTCTCGACTTTGACACCCCTTTTCTCCTTGTAAATAGGTCAGAATGGACCGAGGGAGGCAGCTGAGGTGCCTCGGTCAGGGTCTGTTGGGGGACTTGGGGCGGGGGGGGTGTTTTGTTTTCTGTTCTTTCCTATATGGTACAAACCAAACTGCTCTGTATGTCTGCATCCTGTACGACGTTTTAATGTCTTGTAATATATTCGGATATTCATATATTGTTATTGGTTAAACATTTGTATAACTATACAGCTTTGTAAATGTAATAAATGCTGCAGAACTGTCGTTCCCTCCATCCGCCTGCACAACTGCAGGCACCCGGTTCCTCTGTCCTGCATCCTGCAACCCCAGGGCTTGGTTTAATGATGAGCTGCAAGTGCACACTCAGTCGGGTGGGAGCGTTTGACGTGCCAGAGGGGAGAAAGGCTCTGTGCAGGGATCTGGATCAATGGGGCTGATTGCAGGAGGTTCAATATGGCTCAGTGCTAGGCAATGGCTGGATGTGATGATTTTAAAGGTCTTTTCCAACCTGGCTGATTCAATGAAAACCACTCCGGGAAGTCCCGTTATCCACTGGGTTATTCCTCAGTGGGGCTGAAGGCAAAGCTGCTGCCCCCTCTCAGCCGTCGGTTACGGTGGGAGCTCAGCATCTCCTCCCGTTTACCCACACACCGAGCATCCCGGCGGCCCCGAGCCGGGCGCGGTGCAGGGGGTCAGGGCCGGGGGGGCAGCGAGGCCCCTTGCACCGCCTCCCCTTTGTGGGTGCCGTCGCAGTACGGGGGGGTCCGGGTGCGTTTGCAGCCGCAGAGCCAGACCCGCGCGTCCTCCTCCGGGGTGAAGCGCAGCGGGGACAGCCCCGGCGCCGCCGTCTTGTGGGCGCCGTCGCAGAAAGGCTGCGAAGCGAAGCGGGGGGGGTGGGATCAGAGCAGGGGGCTTTGCCCACACCAAGACCACCCCCCCACCCCCCCCCAAAACCGCCTCCCTGGGTCCCCATCCCGGACCTGGCGCTTGCTGTGCCCGCAGGAGCACCACGCGTACGTCCTGCCCGCCTTCAGCTCCACCGCGAACGGCTCCTTAGCGGCGATCACCGCTTGCGGCGAGCCCGAGCTCCTCCGCAGCGTGGGGATGCGAGACCCGACCGCGGGGTCCCGGCACCGGCGGAGCCCCCCCTCCGCCGCCGTTCTCACCAGCGCCAGCAGCGCGCCCGGGCTCGGCAGCCGCATGGCCCCGGTCACCTCCACCGGCAGCGGCTCCTCCTCCTCCCGGCGCCGCCGGAAGAGCCGGGGCGGGCTCGGCGGAAGGTTCCTCCGTGTCCCGGTGGATGCCGCAGCTCCGGGTTCCCCCCCCCCCCCCCCCACATCGGGGAGCCCGGTCCTGGCCCGTCGGTGTCCCCCCGTTTTCCCCTTATCCCCTTCCGCAGGTGGGGGGGATTCGCCCCAGCCCCCGGCCCCGTGGAGCTACAGGCGGTGAGGGGGCTGTCCCCCTGCTCCCCTGGAAGTTCATCTTCCCAGCACCGAAGGTTTGGGGTCCCCCCCCATTGTAGACATTGAAGTATTGGGAAATGCAGCGTATTTGACAGCGGGAATGAGTTGGGGGGGGGGCACCCCAGAGGCAGCCGTGTGGGGGTCCCACGGTGCCAGCTCCCACCATTCCGGTGCAGTGGGAATGCTCCCAGCATCCTTCAGGGACATGCAAAGCCCTGCTTCAACCAAGGAGGTTGTAAATCCTCTGTGCAGCGTCACTCGCTTCCCTCAACCTGTCAGCACCTCTGAGCTGCTCCTTGGAGCCCTGGAATACGGACGAGAAGATTCCTGTTTCCACAGGTACCGTGCCTTGTTCCTGGCAAAATTCTCCTCTTTCCACTGCATGGGTCTTGGAGGCGTTTTTGTTCCTGCTTTGCATGGATGGAGATTGGAGAGACGTGAGAGGAAGGTGCTCCTTTTGTGCCTGAGGAGCATCCCCTTGGACCAGGATAACGGCAGAAACATCCATAGCAAGTACAGGAAACGTGGCTGTTGGAGCAATCCTGTGCAGGTCCCGCTCCAGGTCTCTCCCAGCTGGTCACCAGTGTCCCCTGTATGAGTGGGGGGCTCCCTCAGCCCTGGATGGACTCTGTCTGCATCCAGTTCTCTGCTTCCCCACATGCTCTGGCCATGGGGTAGTGGCCCCAGTGGGACAGGGCTGGTTCAGGCTCTGGCACCATGGATGCAGATGGCTTGAACCCCCTGTGCACCAAAGACAGTGTGGACATAGACGAGGTCTCCCATGCTCAGGAGCAGACTCCAGGGGAGACACAGAATCAGAAGAGTTACTGAGCAGATATAGATACCGATATAGATATCGATATCAATATAGATACCGATACAGATATAGACATCATATGTCATGTATCTATAGATACATATATAGATGCCAATATAGATAGACATCATCTATATCTATAGATACATATATAGATGCCACTATAGATATCATGTATCATGTATCTATAGATACATATATAGACACCAATATAGATATAGACATCATATATATCTATAGATACATATATAGATGCCACTATAGATATCATATATCTATAGATACAGACATCATACATCATATAGATATAGATACCGAGCAGATGCTGTTATTCTCCTTGGGTGCACTGTTCAGGCTGGCTGGCAGGGGGAGAGGTGATGGACACAGCTGGATGCAGCCACGGTCCCTTGGGAGCTCGGAACAGGCAGCAGTTGTTGGCTGTGACCAGAGCATTAGCGCTGGGGCACAGGAGCTTTCCTGCTGCTGTGGAGAGCTGGGGAAGGGGATGTGCCTGGGGGCTGCTCCATTCAGTGCGAGTCCATCCCTTGGGCTCCAGGGTCCTGCCTGGAGTAGAGCACAGCCACGGCCAGCAGCAGCACCACTCGCTCCAGAAACCATCACAGAATCCCAGCCTGGTTTGGGTTGGAAGGGACCTCAAAGCTCATCCAGCTCCAAGCCGTGCCACGGGCAGGGACCCCTTCCACTGGAGCAGCTTGCTCCAAGCCCCTGTGTCCAACCTGGCCTTGAGCACTGCCAGGGATGGGGCAGCCACAGCTTCTCTGGGCCAGTGTTTGGGGCATCTCAGCTGATGAGCATAAGGAACTGGTACTGGGGGGGGGACGACTTTTTGCTAAGGAACAACCACCTTGTTCGTGTCTCCATCCCCTCCCCAGGGGCAAATCCATGCAGGAGCCAGGCAGCTTCCCTGAGCATCCCATCAGTGCAGGCAGCAGGACCCCAGCCCTGCCACAGGACCTCAAACCACACGGACCCCATCACATTTCCATTTTGAAACCTCAGCTGTATTCAAAGAGTCTTTGGCATTAATATTAATATTATTTATTATAATAAAGAACAGTCAAGCAGCGTGAAAAAAATATATCTTAGCTACATTACCTTAAATTGCCAAAAATATACACATTTTTTCTCTTTTATTCAATAAAAAAAACCCAAATCAGAACAAAAAGGACACATGCAACATACTAAATGAGACATTAGCATCAAAACGGGTAAAGAAACATACCCCAGTGCAACTGAAACACAGATAATCTTTAGCTTTTAGTTTCTCTTTCCCCTGCTCGCCCTCTTTTTCACAGAGATAATGGTTGATGTTGACCTCCTCCTCCCTCTGTCTTGAAAAGGGATGAGGGCAGGTTGAGGGGCTGAGGTGAGGAGGATGTGCCAAAGGGACCGGGCGCCTTTGGAAGCTGTCAGGGAATAAGTGCTCTATGTCTGGATGTCTCTTCCTCTCCATCCTCATCCCTCCCTGCTCCACGAGCGGCTTCGCCCTCAAACTCCTGCCACCACCAGCCCATCCCTGGCACAGGGAGCACAAAGCAGGGATGCGGGACACGAGGCGGCTCAGCCCTACCTGCCTTTGACAGCGCTCCTGCCATCAGTGAAATTCCTGGAATTCAGCCCTTGATTCCCAAGCTGCTCCATTATTTTCCCTGTGCAGCAAGTTTCCTGACTCCAAACTCACTGCTAAGTACCTGCCATTGAGTTTTCTCTTGTCCCCCAAGGATTTGGGCACCAAAGCTCTGATCTGAACATGCGTTTTGCTCATCCTGGGAGGCAACACACGTTGTACCATGACTCGCTCCACAAGGGATGGATGCTCCTCAGCCTTCCTGCCTTCCCGTCCCCTCTCTTCCTGGTACCGATTCCAGGGTGAGGAATCCATCACCTTGCTGACCCCAATCAGCATTAAGGAATGGCTGTCCCCAAATCCCAAGGACCTGTTGCTTGCCAAAGGTTGCCTGGTGCAGCCTTCACATGGATGCAGCCATCCCGCACACAACCAGGGATGCTCTGCTTGCTGCTTTCAAGCCCAAGACTCCCCACACGGAGGGGGCAGCAAGGAAGGAGCCCCACGGTGGGAGAGATCCCACAATAGAGCAGAGGGTCCTTGTTGGGGGGTGTTGGGCCACCTCTGCTTGCAGAGGGGATGGGGAACACCACAGCGAGGGGACGAAAAGAGAGAATATAAGTGCAAGGACACAGTTGTGCCGGAGCAATTCCAGGGACAAGGAGCCAAAGAGTTGAACCATTTGCAGCTGAAAGATGGTGGTTTCTCAGTGCTGGGCTTTTCCACTTTTAGCTGCCATCTCCATCTTCCCAGTAGCTTCTTAACCTTGTTAAAACATTAGCTTTTCTTTATAGATATATAAAAAAAGCTATATATATATATATATAATATATATATATTTCTGAGCAGACAGCAGCGTTCTGCCCAGTTCACAGAACTGGAGGCTGAGATCAGAAGGGGATTTGTTCTCCTCTAAGCCTTATCCAACCATCGCCGTGACAATCTTCCAAGGAAACACAAAAAGAAGAAGTAAAAGAAAGCTATTCAGCAGATGGGGGGGGTTGCCTATAACGAACTTTTCCTGTCCTATCAGCACAGCCCCACTGCTGACAAGTGTGAATAGTGCAAACGAAGTGAAGAGGCAGTGGGAATGTGCTGAGAAATATCCATAGCCATTCCTATGAGCTGGAATCTTCCCGCCTGCCCCCCAGGAGCTCTGGATGGAACCAGGGGGTGATGAGGAGGAGGAGAAGGGGCGCTTGTACGTTTGACGCCGATGCTCCCCTTCCTCCAGAGCCGCCCCGCTCCGTCCTTGCGTGAATCCGTCGCATCCAAGCTCAGAGGGAGCCCATTTCTTTGCTGAGGTTTCCAGGCTGCAAGATGGAGTTAAGGTTAAAAGGTGGAGAACAACGAAGGCTCCGCTGGCCTAGCTCAGGAGCCTGGGCCCTGTCCCATTGCTTGGAGATCCCTCTTCAAGTGCCCAGGACCAGTGGAAGAACGTGGGTTTGCCAGCCTGGAATGGTTTGTGGTGGGCAGGAAAGAGCAGGGACTGGACTGGGGACTCTCTCTTCTCCACACACGTTTCTACCTCCCAGCTTCAGGCTGGGGAAGAGCCGCCGGGTTCAAATGCACCTCCCGAAGTTGGCTATGAGAGGGGTCACAGTGGCTACGAGCCCCTTTGCCAGCTGGAATTTTAGCCTTTGGAGCCGTTGGAAGAGTGAGAGCCAGCACAAGGAGCAGGAGTGTGCTTTTCACGTGGGACGGCACAGCACGGAAGCCCGAGCAGCTGGCGGAGCAGATGTGGCAACGTCCTTTAAGGAAGCAGATGGCTTTCACCTCCCCAAGTACTGGTCCTTACCCATTGCTCCACCACCTGTGTCTTTGCAGGCTGTGTCTGGATCCAGCTGAGGCGTTGGGACTCCACGTGATGGCTCCAGAGAGAAGAGCATCTTCAGAGCGCAGCGGATGAGAAGCAGGTGAGGAATCTCAGCTAGAGGATCCCTTCACATCCCCATCGGGGCGAAGCAGAGCACGTGGGCACTGCCACCACGTCTCCAGCGCTGCTTCCGAGGGTGTTGCAGAAAGGAGCCTCCTTCCACCATGGCCTTCGGCCAAGGATGCTCCATGGTCTCTTAGCGCCTTGGCCTCTGGGAGGGGAAGGGGGGTTAACACACGTGAACACACACTCGTGCTCAGCAGGGATCTGGGGTTAACTCCCTCCTCCGCTCTGCACGGGAACACAGCTTCGCCTTGAGCACGTGTGGCCCGGCCCAGGGACCTTCCCTCCTCGTGACGCCAGGGCTCCATCAGAGATGTTCCGTCTTCCAAAGCACCTCTTGGCATTGCCCAGCGGCAGGAAACGCTCCGTGGAAGCCTTGTGCTCATTGCTCTAACAGTATCAAGGTTGACAGTGGAAAGCCACATTCCCCTGGCTGAGAGAGGAGTTGGCTGCTGGTTTGTTCGGGGCGAGGGGGGGAGCTTAGCCCTTGTCCTGGGTAAGAGGAGCTCCCTTTTCATTCATGCTCTTTAAAAACAAACAGAAAAGAGACGCAGAGGAGACAGGTATCAGTACTGGAGGGGCAGCAACCCTGGCCCTGGCCCTGCTCACCGCGACCTCTCAGGCTCCTCTGACACCAATGGAGACGTGGGTTCCCCCTCTGCCCAGTTCAGACCAAACGGGCCCCTTAACCCTGGCCTTTGGCTCCTAAACGTCTCCAACCAGGGCTGGACCTTCTGGGTACAGGCAGAGGCCAGGGGAGGGATGGAGATGACAGCATCACGCCATCAGTCCCTAGGCACTGGTGTTCCAGTACAAGGCTGCTTTACAGAGAGGCTGTAAACCTCGCCACCACCTCTCCTCTTGGGTGCAAGCTTCCTCCTAAACCCTGGGCTTCAACATGCAGTCACCTTCGTCTTTCATCACGAGGCTCCAATAGGGCCAGCACTGCCAGGGGCACATTGTCCCATCCGGGTCTCATGGCACATCTGTCCCATCCCTGTATCAGATGGCACATCTGTCCCATCTCTGAGGCACATCTGGCATGTGTCTGCACACACACACACACATGGAAAGGCACCTCGGGAGCCTCTGTGCCTGCCCATGACCCTGCCTGGGCCCTACAAGAGTCCTTGGAGGTAGGATCGGGACGTGACACCGGCTAGGCAGGGCTGCAGCAAAGCCAGTGGAGCATCCTGGCTCTGTGCCTATGTGGTGCCCTTGCTCCCCCAAGTGCAGACTGGCTCTCCCCGGGTCTGTACAGCGCCCAGCACCAGGAGCTCAGTGGGGTTAGGGGAGTGCTAGCAGCATACGCACCGTTCCTTTCGGGGTGTTGCCATCAGCCTGCAGGTTGAGAAACGGGTTAGTCTGTGCTGTAAGGACTGGTGGGATGCCCGTTCCCGAAGCCAGGAGGCTGCTCCCAGGAGTGCTGAGCGGTGGGGTGGCCTGGGGGGCCAGGAGGGCATTGCTAGGGTTGAGCTGCTGTGGGGAGAGGGAGGCCATGAGAGAGCTGCTGTGGGGTGGCTGTGGGGCCGAGGTCATCAGGGCGCTGGTGCTGGAGTGCAGGGGAGCAGAGGTGGCTGCCAGGAGGCTGGTCATGGACAGCTGGGATGAGCTGCTCATCTGCAGCCGCTGCAGCTCCCTCTTCTGCTGGATTTGCTGCATCATCTGGAACACCAGGGCCTGCTGCTCCTGCGGGGAAGGGTGAGGAAGAGAAGTCAATGGGAGGGAGAAAGGGCTCAGGGAGAGAGGTGACACCTAACACAAAGGAGCCAGGAGCCACATGGGGCACGCTCCATCCTAGGCGATGCTACTGGGGACAGGGAAGAAGTCCCCTTGATTACATCTCTATAGGTAGAGAGAGGAACAGTGTCTCGTGTTCATTAACAGCCTGTGCTTATGACCCTTCCAACCCCATTACTTCCTGAAGCATAGGATTAGCTGACCCTCACCGGGACACCTGCAGGCACACAGATCCGCTCCCTCCTTCCAATGCATCAACCCACCCATGGACTGTGGTATTCACTGTCCTCAGTCTCCTTCCCCAGCCTGTCCTGCTGCACGGCTCAGCCCTGACACACAGGGTCAGCATAGGTGAGCTGGGCTCGGGGCAGTGGGGGGAACAAGGGCCACAGCTCCCCTGCACCCAGAGGGATGCCCTGTATCCAACCCAACTGTGCCATCACCATAGCAACCATCGACCGATGCTGCGGGCTGAGAGCTGACATTGTTCCCGTACCCACAGGGATGCAGCTGATGACACGGTGACATCAGCTGCTCTAAAGAGAAGCCCTTTCAAATCTGCTTGGCCTGCGTTATAAATAGCCTGACCCAGAAACCTATCCAAAGCAACGGGCCAAGCTGATGGGACAGCTGAATGAGCACTGCTTCACTGACAGGAGCTGTTAGCACCCCCAGGCAGCTCCACCGCAGGGCAGGGACAACACAGAGGTTTCTGCAGGCCAGGTGAATGTGGGCTTTACGCACTCAGGGGCTTGTTTAGCATGGACCCAAGCAGCCATTCCCGCAACAGCCATGGATGGAGCTGCTGTTCCACCCAA